GATGACATGCAGAGCGAAAAACTGCCGAGAGAAGTTCCAAGGCACGGAGCAGGGGCTGTGCCCGAAATGCAGACCCCGCCAACGCCCTGCGCGGCACAGCAAGACCAGCAAAGACTGAGCGGAAGCCGCCTCTCAGGTGAGGCAGCCATGCCGGTTTCACGCCCCGTCCAGCACGGCCGCGCGCCCGGCGCAGAGAGGAAAAAAGGGCCGATCAGAGACGCGCACATGCAATGAAGCGCAGTCACAGGCACGGTATACCTGACATGCACAGGTCTCCTGCAAAGGGTGAGCTGGAGAGACGCTCCGTCAGCCGCCCCCTGCACCCGGCCCCCCCCCCCCACCCACCCCCACTCGCGCCGGTCCGTCCCGACCAGAGCAACTGTGAAGGCACGACTCGCAGAGCAAGGCCGTCTGGCTCAAGCACACACCCATGCATGCTGCTCCGCACCCACTGCCGCAACGCACGAGCCGTCAGTCATCGCACAAACACAGCAACAGAAGCCGAGGTAGAGAAGGCGCCACACGGCGCGCCCGGGACCCTCGCAAAGCTGTACCAGCAAAGGCACTGCAGTCGAAAAGCACGAAGCCGACCAGAGAGCCACAGCAAAAGCAGCAGAGGATAAAACCCACCACACAGAAAGGGGCAGCAGCAAGTAAGAGGAGTGGCCGCCAAGCGCCATGGCACCGCGGACAAGCAGCCGCGGCGCCAAACGCGCCGCAAGGCCCAAGGGGCAGCGGCTCGAGCAACGCCGCCAACTGGAACAGCGGTACTCAGCCGATGATGGCAGATGTAGTGTACAAGCGATGGCGATGGTGTTCCACAAGAAACAAACGTGTGCACACGATCTGGTTTATCCCGGATCGGAATGACGATCGTGATACTGGTATTTGCAACTTATGCACACCGCCAATTACGCGCCCGCCCTGCCCCCCCCCCCTTTCGCTCTTCCTCTCCCGACATGCTTCGGTTTAAGTTTGCATCCACAGAACAAAACCAGTTTTTACGTCTGGTGTTCCACAAGAAACAAACATTTGCGCACAATCTCGCTCATCCCGCATGGGAATGGTGATCGCGATACTGGTATTTGCAACTTGTGCAGACTGCGAATTACGCGCCCCCCCCCCCACCTTTCGCGCTCCTCTCTCGACATGCTTCGGTATAATTCTACATCGACAGAGCAAAACCTGTTTTTGCGCCTGGTGTCCCACAACAAGGAAAGGTTTGCGCGTGATCTCGTATATTCTGCATCGGAACGACGCGATACTGGTTTTTGCAACTTGTGCACACTGCCAATTACACGCCCGCCCCCCCCCCTTTCGCTCTTCTATCCCGACATGCTTCGGTTTAAGCTTGCATCCACAGAGCAGAACCCGTGTTTGCGTCTGGTGTTCCACAAGAATTAAACGTTTGCGCACGATCTCGTGTATCCCGCATCGGAATGACGATCGTGATGCTGATGTTTGCAACTTTGGCACACCGCCATTTAACTGCCCGCCCTGCCCCCCCCCTCCCTCGGTTTTCCGCCCAACCTGCTTCGGTATAATTTTGCATCGACAGAGCAAAACCTGTTTTTGCGCCTGGTGTTCCACAGGAACATATACGTTTGCGCGTGATCTCGTTTATCCCGCATGGGAACGGCGATCGCGATACTGGCATTTGGAACTTGCGCACACTGCCAGTGTGCGCCCGCCCTGCCCCCCCCCCTTCGCTCTTCCTCTCCCGACATGCTTCTGTATAATTGTGCATCGACGGAGCAAAACCTGTTTTTGCACCTGGTATTCCACAAGAAAAACGTTTGCGCGTCATCTCGTTTATCCCGCATCGGAATGACGCCATTGTGACAGCACGGTCTGCAGTCATCGCCTGGCACGATCTGTGGGATGCAGCACTTGGCTCTGGATCTACCGGGGGTTGGGCGGGGGTTCGGGCAGGTGTCCCTGGCTGTGGGCAGGTGCCGGCCCCGGGCCCTGGCTGTGGGAAGGTGAAGGTGCCCTGGCTGTAGGTGCGCGGTTCGGGCCCTGGCCCCGGCCCCGGGCCCTCCCGGAAGGTGCCCCGGCCCCGAGGTGTGCTGGTTCCGGGCCCTGGATGTGGGAAGGTGCCCCGGCCCCGGGCCCTGGCTGTGGGAAGGTGCCCCGCCCCGGGCAACAAACCCCAGCAAACCCTCAACAATAAGAAAGCCTCAATTTAGTCTAGCCCGAACCAACAGAGAGCAATCGCGGAGCAGAGAACGGGGCAGACGACGAGTTTGAAGGCTTATGCAACGGCCCACTAAAAGCAGTGAAACCACAAGCACCCCCAAGCCCCGGCAATCCTTCAACACTAACAAAGCTTCAATTTAACCTAGCCCGAACCAACAGAGAACAATCGCGGAGCAGACGACAACTTTTAAGACTTAAGCAACGGCCCCCTCAAAGCAGTGAAACCACAAGAACCACCAAGACCCGGCAATCTCTTAACACTCACAGTGCTCTAATCCTAACTTAACCCGAACAAACAGAAAACATTCGAGAGGCAGACGCAACACTTTAGGACCTAAGGACCAGCCCCCCTAAAGCAGAGCAAGCCTTCGTGGGAGATGCTCGGGGCGCCTGTGAGCGCAGTCCACATGGACCCACTTAAGGCAGAGAAAGCCTTCGGGTGAGATGCTCGCACTCGGACCCCTCCGCCTCCGAGCCCCAACCCACCTCGCACCCCTGAAACTTCGCGAGGGGGGACCCGGCCACGCCAGAAAAGTTTGAAAGGATTCGAGACCCAACCCGGAAAAAGTGCCGGAAAACATGATTGTCAAAAACTCCCTTTTTTACCAAACCCCAGCAAACCCATAACAATAAGAAAGACTCAATTTAGTCTAGCCCGCACCAACAAAGAACAATCGCAGTGCAGACAACGAGTTTGAAGGCTTAAGAAGCAGCCCCTTAAAAGAAAGGGATGCAGCTGCTGGCTTCGCGTGAGATGCTCCCGGCCCCGGGCCCTGGCTGTGGGAAGGTGCCCCGGCCCCGGGCAACCAACCCCAGCAAACCCTCAACAATAAGAAAGCCTCAATTTAGTCTAGCCCGAACCAACAGAGAGCAATCGCGGAGCAGACAACGGGGCAGACGACGAGCTTGAAGGCTTATGCAACGGCCCAATAAAAGCAGTGAAACCACAAGCACCCCCAAACCCCGGCAATCCCTCAACACTAACAAAGCCTCAATTTAGTCTAGCCCGAACCAACAGAGAGCAATCGCGGAGCAGACGACAACTTTTAAGGCTTACGCAACGGCCCCCTCAAAGCAGTGAAACCACAAGAACCACCAAGACCCGGCAATCTCTTAACACTCACAGTGCTCTAAACCTAACTTAACCCGAACAAACAGAAAACATTCGAGAGGCAGACGCAACACTTTAGGACCTAAGGACCAGCCCCCCTAAAGCAGAGCAAGCGTTCGTGGGAGATGCTAGGGGCGCCTGTGAGCGCAGTCAACATGGACCCCCTTAAGGCAGAGAAAGCCTTCGGGTGAGATGCTCGCACTCGGACCCCTCCGCCTCCGAGCCCCAACCCACCTCGCACCCCTGAAACTTCGCGAGGGGGGACCCGGCCGCGACAGAAAAAAGTTCAAAGGTTTCGATCCCCAACCCGGAAAAAGTGCCGAAAAACACGATTGTCAGAAACGGGCTTTTTTACCAAACCCCAGCAAACCCATAACAATCAGAAAGACTCAATTTAGTCTAGCCCGAACCAACAGAGAGCAATCGCAGTGCAGACAAGGAGTTTTTCGGCTTAAGGACCAGCCCCCTTAAAAGAAAGGGATGCAGCTGCTGGCTTCGCGTGAGATGCTTGGGGCGCCTTTTAGCGCAGTCTCAAAAAACTGCGCTGGCGAACCCTAAACCCTAAACCCTAAACCCTAAACCCTAAACCCTAAACCCTCAAGCATAAACCCTAAACCCTAAACCCTAAACCCTAAACCCTAAACCCTAAACCCTAAACCCTAAACCCTAAACCCTAAACCCTAAACCCTAAACCCTAAACCCTCAAGAGCAGGATAAATAGAAATTGTGTGATTTTCGTTTCGATCTGCAGTTGCAATAGTTTCAAATTTTCGCTAAACGTGTCCAACCAAATCCAGCGGACAAGGCGGGAAGGCTTATCCTCAACCGGTATGGGGTTCCGAGGTGTGGGAGCTCAAGCCGAAGACGACAGAGGCAAGGACAATCCAGGGTATGGAAGCTTGAGCCTCAACCAATGTGGGTTGCCGAGGTGTGTGGTCTCAGCGACAAGGCTGAGAGGGCTTATCCGGAGAGCTTTTCCTCAAACACAACAGGAACCTGAAGGTATGCAGTTCAGGAGCTAGCCGACCTTCCCCCTCCCCCTCCCTCCCCCTCCCATGCCCTATTGACGGCCTCCCTTCCAGAGGTGGCAGGGTGGCACGAATTCTCAGGGAAGGTAGTGGCAGAAATCAATGGGGTGCGGGGTCTCCCCCCCGGCCCCCCCTCCCCCGCCCTCCCCCCCCCCCTTACTGGGCCGGGAGGGTAGTGGGCAGACACCAAAAAAAAATCCTCAACTAAAATGGGGCGTTGGTTCCCGCCCCTCCCCGCCCCCCTCCCCCACCCTCCCCCCCTCCCTCCCCCTCCCCACCCGGTGCCTCCTCCGGAGGGTGGCACGAGTCTCACGGGGGGTAGTGGGCAGACACCAAAAAACAATCCTCAACTAAAATGGGGTGTGGGGCTCCCCCGCACCCCTCCCCACCCTCCCCCCCCACCCGGTGCCCCCTCCGGAGGGTCCCCCCCCTCCCTCCCCCCCTTCCCTCCCCCGCTCCCTTCCCTCCCCCTCGCTCTGCCCCTCCCACCCCCCTCCCAAACCCGCTCACTTAGAACGCAACCAGCGTGGAGTGCCAGGTGCGTATCCTCAAGAAGAAAAAGGCCGGGAGCGGGAACGAAGCTGTGCAGGCTCGCCTGCATGGTGTCCCAGGTACGTGGTCCCAACCCCAAGAAGACCGAAGTGAGGAGGTATCCTCAACCAATGTGGGGTCCCAGGTGCGTGGTCTCAGTCGAAGAAGGCGGAGGCAGGGACGAGGCCGGAGCACTTATCCTCACCCAATATGGGGTCCCAGGTGCGTGGTCTCAGCCCGAAGAAGGCGACGAGGCCGGCGCGCTTTTCCTCAACCAATATGTTCCAGGCGCGTGCTCGGAGGCGGGAGCGCTTATCCTCAACCAATATGGGGTCCCAGGTGCGTGCTCTCGCGGACCAGGCCGGCGCAATATGGGGTTCCAGGCGCGTGGTCTCAGCCCGAAGAAGGCGGAGGCGGGGACGAGGCCGGAGCTGGGGTCCCAGGTGCGTGCTCGGCAGGGACGAGGCCGGAGCGCTTATCCTCAACCAATATGGGGTCCCAGGTGCGAAAGCGGAGGCGGGGACGAGGCCGGAGCGCTTATCCTCGACCAACGTGGAGTCCCAGGTACGCGATCTCGGCCCGAAGAAGGTGAAGGTGGGGACGAGGGCGGAGCACTTATCCTCAACCGATATGGGCTCCTAGGTGCGTGCCCTACCGCAGCGTGCATCAGTGCCAGGTGCTTGAAGCCAGAAGAAGGCGAGCTTCAAGAGGAGGCGACAACAAGCTCGAAGGACTTACTCTCAGAATACGTTCTCGGCGCGTGGTCTCAACCTGAAGAAGACAGAGGCGGCGACAAGGCCGGATCGCCTATCCTCAAATGTCATGGGTTCCCAGGTTCGTGGTCTGGAGAGAACAGAAGCCGAGACCAGGCCGGAGTGCCTATCCTCAATCAATATGGGGTCCCAGGTGCGCGGTCTCAACTTGAAGAGGATGGAGGCGGGAACCAGGCCGGAGCACTTCTCCTCAACCAATATCGGGTCCGAGGTGCGTGGTCTCAACTCGAACAGGACGGAGGCGAGGAGAGGCCGGAGTGCCTATCCTCAACCAAGATAGGGTCCCAGGTGCATGGTTTCATCTTGGAGAAAAGAGAAAGGACGAGGCCTCAACCAATATGAGGTCCGAGGTGCGTGACCCCAGCAAAAAGACGACGGAGGCAAGGACAAGGCCGGGGTTCGAAGTGCGTGGCCCCAGGAAGCTCAAGCTGAAGAAGACAGAGGTAAGAACGAGGCCGGGAGGGCTTATCCTCAACCAATATAAGTTTCCGAGGCAAGGACAAGGCCGGGAGGGCCCATCCTCAACCAACATGGGGTTCCGAGGTGTGGAAGTTCAAGCTGAAGAAGACACAGGTAGGGACAAGGCCGGGGGGGGGCTCATCCTCAACCAGTATGGGTTTCCGAGGCGTGGAAGCTCAAGCTGAAGAAGGGCAAGGACAAGGCCGGGAGGGTGTATCATCAACCAATATGGGTTTCCAAGACGTGGGGTCTCAAGCTGCAGAAGCGCAACGACAAGGCCGGGAGGGTTTATCCTCAACTAGTACGGGTTTCCGAGGCGTGGAAGCTCACAAGTCGGAGAAGACAGAGGCAAGGATAAGGCCGGGAGGGTTTATACTCAACCGATGTGGGTTTCCGGGGTATGGAAGCTCCAGCCGAAGAAGACAGAGGCAGAGACAAGGCGGGAAGGCTTATCCCCAACCGGTATGGGGTTCCGAGGTGTGGAAGCTCAAGCCGAAGAAGACAGAGGCAAGGACAATCCAAGGTATGGAAGCTTGAGCCTCAACCAATGTGGTTGCCGAGGTGTGTGGTCTCAGCGACAAGGCCGGGAGAACAATCCTCAACTAAAATGGGGTGTGGGGTCTTCCCCCCGCCCCCCCTCCCCCTGAGCGCCCTCCCCCCTCCTCCTGGGGCGGGAGGGTAGTGGGCAGACACCAAAAAACAATCCTCAACTGAAATGGGTTCCCACCCCTCCCCGGCCCCCTCCCCCACCCTCCCCCCTTCCCTCCCCCTCCCCACCCGGTGCCTCCTCCGGGGGGGTGGCACGAGTCTCACGGGGGGTAGTGGGCAGACACCAAAAAACAATCCTCAACTAAAATGGGGTGTGGGTCTCCCCCCTCCCCCCCACCCGGTGCCCCCTCCGGAGGGTCCCCCCGCTCCCTCCCCCCCTTCCCTCCCTCCCCTTCCCTCCCCCGAACCCCGCACCGCAAGGTCCCCACCCTCCTCCCCTCCCAACCCGCTCACTTAGACCGCAACCAGCGTAGAGTGCCAGGTGCGTATCCTCAAGAAGAAGAAGGCCGGGAGCGGGAACGAAGCCGTGCAGGCTCGCCTGCATGGTGTCCCAGGTACGTGGTCCCAACCCCAAGAGACCGAAGTGAGGAGGTGAGCGCTGATTTATCCTCAACCAATGTGGGGTTCCAGGTGCGTGGTCTCAGTCGAAGAAGGCGGAGGCAGGGACGAGGCCGGAGCACTCATCCTCAACCAATATGGGGGCCCAGGTGCGTGGTCTCAGCCCGAAGAAGGCGACGAGGCCGGAGCGCTTATCCTCAACCAATATGTTCCAGGCGCGTGCTCGGAGGCGGGAGCGCTTATCCTCAACCAATATGGGGTCCCAGGTGCGTGCTCTCGCGGACCAGGCCGGCGCAATATGGGGGTCCAGGCGCGTGGTCTCAGCCCGAAGAAGGCGGAGGCGGGGACGAGGCCGGAGCTGGGGTCCCAGGTGCGTGCTCGGCAGGGACGAGGCCGGAGCGCTTATCCTCAACCAATATGGGGTCCCAGGTGCGAAAGCGGAGGCGGGGACGAGGCCGGAGCGCTTATCCTCGACCAACGTGGAGTCCCAGGTACGCGATCTCGGCCCGAAGAAGGTGAAGGTGGGGACGAGGGCGGAGCACTTATCCTCAACCGATATGGGGTCCTAGGTGCGCGCCCTACCGCAGCGTGCATCAGTGCCAGGTGCTTGAAGCCAGAAGAAGGCGAGCTTCAAGAGGAGGCGACAACAGGCTCGAAGGACTTACTCTCAGAATACGTTCTCGGCGCGTGGTCTCAACCTGAAGAAGACGGAGGCGGCGACAAGGCCGGATCGCCTATCCTCAACTGTCATGGGTTCCCAGGTTCGTGGTCTGGAGAGAACAGAAGCCGAGACCAGGCCGGAGTGCCTATCCTCAAGCAATATGGGGTCCCAGGTGCGCGGTCTCAACTTGAAGAGGATGGAGGCGGGAACCAGGCCGGAGCACTTGTCCTCAACCAATATCGGGTCCGAGGTGCGTGGTCTCAACTCGAACAGGACGGAGGCGAGGAGAGGCCGGAGTACCTATGCAAGGACAAGGCTGGGAGGGCCCATCCTCAACCAACATGGGGTTCCGAGGTGCGGAAGTTCAAGCTGAAGAAGACACAGGTAGGGACACGGCCGGGGGGGGGGCTCATCCTCAACCAGTATGGGTTTCCGAGGCGTGAAAGCTCAAGCTGAAGAAGACAGGGGCAGGGACAAGGCCGGGAGGGCTCATCCTCAAACAATATGGGGTTCCGAGGTGTGGAAGTTCAAGCTGAAGAAGACAGAGGCAGGGACAAGGCCGGGGGTGAGCCATCCTCAACCAATATGGGTTTCCGAGGCGTGGAAGCTCCAAGCTGAAGAAGGGCAAGGACAAGGCCGGGAGGGTTTATCATCAACCAATATGGGTTTCCAAGACGTGGCGTCTCAAGCTGCAGAAGCGCAACGACAAGGCCGGGAGGGTTTATCCTCAACCAGTATGGGTTTCCGAGGTGTGGAAGCTCACAAGTCGAAGAAGACAGAGGCAAGGCCGGGAGGGCTTATCCTCAAACCAATGGGTTTCCGAGGCGTGGAAGCTCAAGCTGAAGAAGAATATCCTCAACCAATATGGGTTTCCGAGGCGTGGAAGCTCAAGCTGAAGGAGACGGAGGCAAGGACAAGGCCGGGAGAGCTTCTCCTCAACCAATATGGGTTTCCGAGGCGTAGAAGCTCAAGCTGAAGAAGACAGAGGCAAGGACAAGGCCGGGAGGACTTATCCTCAACCAATATGGGTTTCCGAGGCGTGGAAGCTCAAGCTGAAGAAGGGCAAGAACAAGGCCGGGAGGGTTTATCCCCAACCAATATGGGTTTCCCTCAAGCTGCAGAAGGGCAACGACAAGGCCGGGAGAGTGTATCCTCAACCAATATGGGTTTCCGAGGCGGAGAAGGCTCAAGCTGAAGAAAAGAAGAATATCCTCAACCAATATGGGTTTCCGAGGCGTGGAAGCTCAAGCTGAAGGAGACGGAGGCAAGGACAAGGCCGGGAGAGCTTCTCCTCAACCAATATGGGTTTCCGAGGCGTAGAAGCTCAAGCTGAAGAAGACAGAGGCAAGAACAAGGCCGGGAGGACTTATCCTCAACCAATATGGGTTTCCGAGGCGTGGAAGCTCAAGCTGAAGAAGGGCAAGAACAAGGCCGGGAGGGTTTATCCCCAACCAATATGGGTTTCCCTCAAGCTGCAGAAGGGCAACGACAAGGCCGGGAGAGTGTATCCTCAACCAATATGGGTTTCCGAGGCATGAAGGCTCAAGCTGAAGAAGACAGAGGCAAGGACAAGGCCGGGAGAGTGTATCCTCAACCAATATGGGTTTCCGAGGTGTGGAAGCTCAAGCCGAAGAAGACAGAGGCAAGGACCAGACCGGGAGGGCTTACCCTCAACCAATATGGGTTTCCGAGGCGTGAAGCTCAAGCCGAAGAAGACAGAGGCAAGGACCAGACCGGGAGGGCTTACCCTCAACCAATATGGGTTTCCGAGGCGTGAAGCTCAAGCGGAAGAAGACAGAGGCACGGAGGAGAAGACAGAGGCAAGGACACGACCGGGAGGGCTTATCCTCAACCAATATGGGTTTCCGAGGCGTGGACGCTCAAGCGGAAGAAGACAGAGGCAAGGAGGAGGCCGGGAGGGCTTATCCTCAACCAATATGGGTTGCCGAGGCGTGGACGCTTAAGCGGAGGAAGACAGAGGCAAGGAGGAGGCCGGGAGGGCTTATCCTCAGCCAATATGGGTTTCCGAGGCGTGGACGCTCAAGCCGAAGAAGACGGGGGCAAGGACCAGGCCGGGAGGGCTTATCCTCAACCAATATGGGTTTCCGAGGCGTGGAAGCTCAAGCGGAAAAAGACGGGGGCAAGGACGAGGCCGGGAGGGCTTATCCTCAACCAATATGGGTTTCCGAGGCGTGGAAGCTCAAGCGGAAGAAGACGGAGGCAAGGACGAGGCCGGGAGGGCTTATCCTCAACCAATATGGGTTTCCGAGGTGTGGAAGCTCAAGCCGAAGAAGACGGTGTGGAAGCTCAAGCTAAACAAGACAGAGGCAAGGACACGGCCGGGAGGGCTTATCCTCAATACGGAGTCCCATTCAGGCGAACACTGAAGGAGACGGAGTCGCCGAAGGCGAGCCATGGAGTATCCGCGCTCGCAAGCGGGACAATTGCAAAAGGATATCAGAGAAAGAGACCATCACTGAGCATGTAGTGCAGCCAGACGCATGCAGGAGTACCTGTTCCCAGCAGCTTATGAACGCAGCTCTTGTTCATTGAGCAATTCCTAGCCAGCGGTCCCCCTCGGAGAAGCTATGGCGACAGGGACAATCTGTTTCGAGAGATCGGAAGGTATACTGCGGTGCTGCGCCCGCACCTGAGGATGTTTCGCGGGAAACTACTTCTCATTTACTCGGCTTTGTTTTTACGCCAGGAGTGCAAGGAATATGCCCGATACTTGGGCATCGACCCCGGATACGAGGGAGAAGAGACACACAACGCGATGTTGTGCCCGAGCCTCGGACGCTCTACGAGTGAGGAGTCCTGATATGCCGTTTACCTTTATCGAGGCCCTCCCTGTGCACGCCGACTCGGGTTGTGTCCGTCGGGGCCTTAAGAAGCGCTCGTGATGTCTCTGCTGAACACGATGGCGCTGCAGGCCCCGCCGCCGTGACAGAGCCGGGAAACCGGAGCGCGAAGCTCCGAGCCCGTTGGACAGCATCAAGAGCCAACTGGGCGTCAGGGGCCGAGCAACGCACACCAAGCCAGCATCTGCCGACGGTGGTTGACGCTAGTTGCGCTAGGGCTGTGCCACCGTCGAAGAGAAAAGAAATCTTCTCAGGAAGAATGGGTGGGCAGGCCAGCAAGCAAGAGCGAGAGAACAGAACCTGCACACTGACGTGCAACCAGGATACATTTGGCAAAGGGTGCCGCACGGCGCGTGGATACCCTGGTGGTATCTTTCGGACAGCATTTGTTTCTGGGAAGAGGATGTCTTCCAGGCCGGACCAGCAGAACGAAGAAGAACATGCGGGCACGTCCCTGCCACAGCACAGCCCAGGAGGCCACGGCAGCCGTCTGAGCGCCAGGTCCGGCGATAAGAACCTCTTCCCTTGAGAGTCCAAAAGGTGCACGGGAAGCACTTGCATCACGCGCATGCACTCTTGGGGTATGCCCGATGACTACGAGCGACTCCTATCCGACGCAGCTGTTATTCAGCATTCAGTAGACACAACGGGGAGATATAGCATGGTCTCAACCCGAGGAAGGCAGGGGCGGGGTCGAGGCCAGGGCGTTTATCCTCAACCAATATGGGGTTCCAGGCACGTGGGCTCAACCCGAGATGAAGACGGAGGCGGGGACGAGGCCGGAGCGCTTATCTTCAACCCACGTATACTCAACCAATATGGGGCTTCAGGTGCATGGTCTCAACCTGAGAAGAACACGGAGGCGGGGATCAGGCCAGAGATATCCTCAACCAATATGGGTTTCCGAAGTCTGGGATCTCAGGCCGGAGGCGGGGACGTATCCTCAACCAAGATGGGGTTTCAGGTGCATGGTTTTAAGCTGAGAAGACGGCAGAGGCGGGGACGAGGCCGGAGCGCTTGTCCTCAACCAATATGGGGTTTCAGGGAAAGCGAAGGCGGGGACAAGGCCGGAGCGCTTATCCTCAACCAAGATGGGGTCCCAACCCGAAGAAAGCAGAGGCGGGGACGAGGCCAGAGCGGTTACCCTCAACCAATATGGGGTTCCAGGTGTGATGTGACGTCTCGCAGCCCGAAGAAACTGGAGGCGAGGACGAGGCCGGAGCGCTTACCCTCAACCAATATGGGGTTCCAGGTGTGACGTCTCGCAGCCCGAAGAAACTGGAGGCGGGGACGAGGCCGGAGCGCTTACCCTCAACCAATATGGGGTTCCAAGTGTGACATCTCACAGCCCGAAGAAAGTGGAGGCGGGAACTACGGGGTCCCAATCCGGAGAAGGCGAAGGCGGGGAAGAGGCCGGAACGCTTATCCTCAACCGATCCAGCACGCTTTTCCGCAACGTCCCAGGTGCGTGGTCTCAACCTGAAGAAAGCGGAGGGGACGAGGCCGGAGGGCTTATCCTCAACCAATATGGGGTCCCAACCCGAAGAAGGCGAAGGCGGGGACGAGGCCGGAGCGCTTATCCTCAACAAAAAAAGGGTCGGAGGTGCGTGATCTCAGCCCGAAGAAGACGGCGGCGGGGAGACCGCAGCACTTCTCCTCAACCAACATGGGGTCCCAGGTGTGAAGTCTCATCCCGGAGAAGGAGGAGGCGGGGACGAGGCCAAAGCGCTTATCCTCAACCAATATGGGGTCCTAGGGGCGTGTTCAGACAGCCCGAAGAAGGCGGAGGCAGGGACCGGGCCGGAGCGCTTATCCTCAACCACTATGGTGTCCCAGGTGCGTGGTCTGGCAGCCCGAAGAAGGGGGAGGCGGGGTATCCTCAACCAATATGGGCTCGCAGGTGCGTGGTCTCACAGCCCGAAGAAGGCGGAGGCGGGGACGAGGCCGGAGCGTTTATCCTCAACCAAGATGGAGTTTCAGGTGCACGGGTTTAAGCTGAGAAAACGGCGGAGGCGCGGACGAGGCCGGAGAGCTTGTCCTCAACCAATATGGGGTTTCAGGGAAAGCGGAGGCGGGAACGAGGCCGGAGCGCTTATCCTCAACCAATGTGGGGTCCGAGGCGTGTGGTCTTAACCTGAGGAACGCAAGCCAGGGACCAAGATGGAGGGCTTATCCTCGGGGTCTCGGCTGCGTGGCCCCAAGTGAGGGTTCTCATTCTTTCGAAGACGGAGCCAAGGACAAGGCCGGGAGGGCTTATCCTCAATCAGTATGGGATTCCGAAGCGTGGGAGCTCAGTCTGAAGAAAGCATCTCTAGATTTAATGGTCCGCGGTGATCCCGGCGCTCAGTCTCCTGTGGTGACGAGGCCGGAGGGCTTATCCTCAACCAAGATGGGATTTCAGGTGCGTGGTCTGAAGCTGAGAAGACGGCGGAGGCGGGGACGAAGCCGGAGCGCTTATCCTCAGCCAATATGGGGTCCCAACCCGAAGAAAGCAGAGGCGGGGACGAGGCCAGAGCGGTTACCCTCAACCAATATGGGGTTCCAGGTGTGTGACGTCTCGCAGCCCGAAATAACTGGAGGCGAGGACGAGGCCGGAGCGCTTACCCTCAACCAATATGGGGTTCCAGGTGTGACGTCTCACAGCCCGAAGAAACTGGAGGCGGGGACGAGGCCGGAGCGCTTACCCTCAACCAATATGGGGTTCCAAGTGTGACATCTCACAGCCCGAAGAAAGTGGAGGCGGGAACTACGGGGTCCCAATCCGGAGAAGGCGGAGGCGGGGAAGAGGCCGGAACGCTTATCCTCAACCGATCCAGCACGCTTTTCCTCAACGTCCCAGGTGCGTGGTCTCAACCTGAAGAATCCGGAGAAGGCGGAGGCGGGGAAGAGGCCGGAACGCTTATCCTCAACCGATCGAGGCCGGGAGGGCTTATCCTCAACCAATATGGGTTTCCGAGGTGTGGAAGCTCAAGCCGAAGAAGACGGAGGCAAGGACGAAGCCGGGAAAGCTTATCCTCAGCCAATATAGGTTTCGAGGGGCTTATCCTCAACCAATATGTGTTTCCGAGGTGTGGAAGCTCGCCGAAGAAGTCACAGGCAAGGACGAGGCCGGGAGTGTGGAAGCTCAAGCGGAAGAAGACACGGGAGTGTGGAAGCTCAAGCGGAAGAAGACAGAGGCAAGGACGAGGCCGGGAGGGCTTATCCTCAACCAATATGGAATTCCCGAGGTGTGGAAGCTCAAGATGAAGAAGACAGAGGCAAGGACGAGGCCGGGAGGGCTTATCCTCAACCATTATGGGTTTCCGAGGCGCGGAAGACAGAGGCAAGGACGAGGCCGGGAGGGCTTATCCTCAACCAATATGGGGTTCCGAGGTGTGGAAGGGCTTATCCTCAACCAATATGGGGCTTCCGAGGTGTGGAAGCACAAGCTGAAGAAGACAGAGGTAAGGACGAGGCCGGGAGGGCTTATCCTCAACCAATATGGGGTTCCGAGGTGCGGAAGCTCAAACTGAAGAAGTGCGTAGTCCCAGGTGCGCTGTCTCAACCCGAAGGAAACGAGACTCGGGCCAAGGCCAGAGGGTTTATCCCCAACCAATCGCAGTCTCAGGGGCCTGGTTGTGCAAAGAGCTATGTGTGTCGACACGCGAAGCTGTTGCCCAAGAGAACTTGCCCAAGAGCGACAAGGCTCGACGAGACCTGCGCAGTGTCCAACAGGACCCCGCCATGTTGTCAGAGCAGTCTTCAGGGCGATACATCGTCAGCGACGACGTGGAGCTGCCAGAGGATCGCGCCCAGTACAGCGACGTGAACCTACTTCGACAAGCCCTCCTCGACGCCCGTGAGTTCCTTCGCTCAGGCTATACGGAAATCCACTTCCGAGGCTGGAGGCGCGACGAACCGATGAAGCTTCTCTGCGCACGGAGTGCCAAGCAGCATGAGGGCACGATGGAACTCTACCTCACCTACGAGGACGGCGGCGAGGAAGAGGGCCTGCTGCATCCGGCAGGAACCGGTTGCACTGGACCGTTGCTCGCGTTTGCCAGCAGACGCCAAGACGGCATTCCAGCTCCTCGACGACGGCTGGGACGTGCTCATACAATCTTCTTCTTCAAGAACGATCTGGTGGAGTGGACGGCGGCTCGCGGCGAGAGAGAACGTTTTAGTGTCACCAGAGTAGTTTTAGACTGCGCAATGCGCTGAACGGCTCGAGCTTCACTCACCTAGGCGAGGCAAAAAGGTGCAAGGAGGGCCTGGTGCATCACATGCGGCCGCGCTCCTCCATCATGTCGCAGTCGGGCATACAGGTGCTCAGTCTCAGCGGGAACAACGTTGGAGGCGGAGACACGGACGAGTCCCGAAGGCTCGCATGCCGAGAGATTCGCCTATCCTCAACCAATACGGCGTCGCAGGTACTCCGGAAGCAAGGCCAGAGCGCTATGGGGCTCGGGGTCCGCGGTCCCAGCCCGAAGAAGGCCGCCGGAACGAGGCTGGAACGTTTATCCTCAACCACTGTGGGATTCGAGATCAGCA